TGGTGCTTATTATCCAAGACCCCGTCTGTTTTTAATTCTCTGTAGAAAGAACCAGCTTTTCTCTCTCTTTTTTTTTCTTTCTTAAAAACAAGTCTTCTCTTTAAAAATAAAAGGTAACAACTAACAGTTGTGAAGCCAGGCAATGGGTTCACAGGCATCCTGGGCTATGGACTCCCTCTTTCTGCTTGATGCACTATGAGCTTTTAGGGTCAGTATCTTGGATTCCTCATGTGCTGCTTCTTTGTCCTTTCCTCTTTGTCCCTGTTCTTTAATTTCAGCAAGGAAACTATGTAAGTAAAGCATTGAGAAAATTGTGAGGCAAGTGTTTTGAAAATAAAAATAAAGATTTGATGGACCTTTTCCCTTCCTTCAATCTAGAAAATAAGAATAACTTGTTAGAATGTTAAACATAGGTTGTTCATTTTTTAATCTAAAGATGCATCTTTTTAGTAGCACAAAAGCACAGCAGATATTTAAACTCCACAATGAATAATATGATAGGTTTATGTAAGATAATTAACATATTTGAATTTTTTCCCAGCATAGGGTTTTTCTTAGCATTCTGCCTTATAGAGAGATGTAGCATCCATATGTACATAATACAGAATATTTCTAGCTAAATATTTGTAAAAATGCTCTTGAATTTAGCATACTGTTTCATATTCATTTCTTCATCAAGGCTGCATAGAAATTCAGCAAGGATGTGGTTTTTCTCTTCCAGAGACAAGAGCATTGGGCCACAGTGGTCTGACTTGTCCACGGCCACACAGCCATACTACATTTCCAGACCAGATGTTCTGCCCCAAAGCCAGTATTCCTCCCACCCCTTGTCCCCTGATTTCTTCATGATCCAAAGAGTAGGTCTGTGTGTGCAGTATTAGTTGCTGTGAAGGACAATGCTCCTGAGGGGAAGGCCAACCTGCTTTGTATTAGAGTAGTATCCATGCCTTCTTCCAGTGAGTTCTCTGTTCCCTGAACTCAGTGCTGTGACCCAAGAGCTGATTTTACCAGCACCCTTAACTTGAGATTTTTTTCTCATGAAGGCATTTATCAGTCGCTCAATATTCTGAACATCTAGCTACGTGTCTATATTGAACATTTAGCGTTTCTCTTCCACCTTGTCTTGCACATTTGAGGTGAAATGCCTTGTTTTAGAGTGTGGATTCCTTAGAGTCAGGTGTCTAGATCCTATAAAAGTAGCTTTCCACTTGATGCTCCAAACCCGGAAAGTGGTCAGAGACTGCTAGCTGGGAAAGTGAGGTCACAAAGGCAAGCTACTCGGCCTCAGATCTCGTGCACACTGGGTATGAAGGACCCAAGGTCAAACCTCTAATGAAAATATTTTACTGTTGAAGTCACAGGCCCCACAGCAAACAGCCACATAAAGAACAACTGTCTGTGGCTGCTCACGACTCAACTGACCCTTCGCTAAAGCGTCTCTGGCTGGCTGAGTTTAACAGACCCCTGAGAAGCAGATTGGAAATAGAGAATCCTGAGTCTCACTTAAGGATTCTGACTCAAGAGGCTTGGGGTGGAACCCAGAGATCGGATTTTTAAGAAGGTCCAGAGAAATTCCCTTGTTTGGCTCCATCCGCTACACTTTGAAAAAGCTTTTCCCAGGGACACATTATGAAACAACTAATGGCTGATCCAACAAAACTTAATTGTCCAACTACAAGACAACCATTTAATAAGACAAGTATCTGACTTCTTTTTGTTAAGTAAACATGACTTATACCAAAGTAGGAGGGGAAATCAACTAAATGACCTGACTTCTGAGATATAGAAGTGTGTCACTAGTAATTTGCTTATTGTTAACCATTGCATTAGCCCCAGAGTCTGGAGAATCGTATACCACACACACTCAAGTGTTCCATGTTAATAGTATTAACCATGTTAAATGAATCTTTCTTCTCTTAGCTATTTCCTCCCCAAACTAGTGTTTGCCACATTGGCTCAGAGAACTGCAAAAGCTCGGGCCAGTTACCATCTAGAACCCTCAGAAGCAGACAACTCCAGGAGCCCAGTCATTACCGGGCATTGCCCAGGAGCAGCATGGCGTGGCAGTGTTGGAAGTGCCTGCTAGATTGTGGTATGCACTTTTTCTCTGCTTTCTTCTCCATCAATGAGGTTTGTTGTTCAAAGTTGGCTAGTTCTCAAAGGATAAGATCCACTGAGATACAGCAGGTTTTACCACCAAGTCTGGAAAATATGTCTGTCTGCATCCAGCATGATTTTTAAGAAATGTTATCCTAACTTTGAGGTGATTTCTGTACCAATTTTAGGAACAAAATGTTTACTAATCTAAGAAAGAGTATGAGATGATCTAAAATCAGAAATTCGCATTTATGCTTGATAGTAGTGGACCACAACTTTAATTCTAGCAATTGTGAGGCAGAGACAGGCATATCTCTGTGAGTTCAAGGCCAGCCTGGTCTACAGTGTGAGTTCCAGGGCAGTCAGGTTTACATAAAGGAAACCCTGTCTCTAAAAACAAAAGAAGAAGAGGAGGAGGAGAAGAAAGTCTCATTTATTTCCAGCATGACATTTGTATGCCTATATGACTATCATAAATGAAGACAATCAGGAATATAGTTCCTTGTTATTTTTTTTAAAATATTCAACCATTTTTTTTTGAGACAAGGTTTCTATGTGTATCTCTGGCTGTCCTGGAACCATTTTTACTCAACCATTCTTAAACTGGGTAAAGGAAACTTTGTCGTTGAACGTAATAGTAGAAATGTTAACAAAATTAGCAAACACATCATTAAAAGCTTATTGCAAGCCAACTACACTTCTAAGCATTTCGTATGAACAGTTTACTAACATGTTCCAAGCAGGGATACAATTTCCTCTTCACAGAGAAGGTTTCGGAGCTTATGGGGTTTAACTTTCTCGGTGTGACACCGTTCAAATGTGGGAGGGCCAGGAAGGAATGGCTCTAAATTTACTAACATCACATGGTCACACACATCTTATTCTCTGGAACTAAGGCAGATTGTTTATAAGCATGGTAGATCTTTCTAGACTTGTCAATTCACTCAGGCTAAGAAGCCTCTCTTGTTTCAGTTTAAATGTTAAATCCACTCAAAGTTTGCCTTTATATTGGTGTTGTTTAAATGATTCCTTTGGGGCTGTTCTTCCAGAAATCTATTATCTTCTCCCCCTATCCTAGAAGTCTGCAAGTGTCCCTGAGGCCGCTCTGCCTCAGCAGGCTCCTTGCTTCTCTTGCTCCAGCATGACCACTCCACACCAGTACGGTATTCCCTGAAGCCCATGGCTAAAGTAAAGCTAAATCTCTTTCTCTCACACCAGCAGTGTTCTAGACACTTCAGCCGTCTTCCTTGATGAATCACCTTAGCAACAACTCACGTGGGTTTCAGTTTAGCCACCGGACCAGGGTGACTTCCAGGTGACTACACTCTTGGCCTCCTCTCTTTTCTCCACAGGACATCTGAGATCCTTTGGATTTACTACTTCTTTTTATTCTCCAAACCTCAAGGAAATAATAGGGAGCTGGGCTTTATTTTTCCTTACCCGCTGCACTGTTGGACTTCAATGTAGCTGATTGTTTATGAGCAGAAGCAGACCTCAGTGGATTCCCAAGCAGGTGTTTGGAAGACTCACTTTTGGCCTTTTGTTTTCCCTCAGAGCTCTTCTTACAAAGCACAAAGTTGGTACAAAGTTAGTTCTGTGTTTCCTTGCCCAATTCCCTGATGCCCACAATCCTAGAAAAAGGTTAATAGACTTTTCCATTTCCTTTCTCTTGTTATTAACCCATCACCACCACCATTAGATACAGCCAATGACTAAGTTTTCCAGGCTGGCCTTGAACTTGTAACTGTCCCATATAAGCTTCCTGTCTGGGACTATGGACCTGAATAACCAGGCCTGACTTGTTTACTATTGAGCAGTGGTTCTTTACCAAGGATGTACTCAGCACAAAGCTGAGAGTGATCAGCTTTTTCTGATCTATTTTTCTCTTTTCAGTAAGACATATATTAACACTATAGCGAGATATTTTGGGGTTCCTCCTGCTAAAAGTGCCCACACTCTCCAAGTACAACTGGAACCGCTGGGTGCTGTCATCAGACAGGTTGCAGCACTGCTTAGCCATAGCAGTCTTGAAGTGAACCACCAATGTGGCAAGAGTCTAGGGCAGCTGGGAGAATCCTCTCCTTCTGTCGCATCTATTGATTTTTAAGTTGACTGGAACAGAACTTCATTTGAAAGTTTTACATGTAGACACCCATGCCTGGTCCAGTGTCCTCTCCCGATGGGGTATATCTCTGTCCACGTGGTAGTTTCATGTCTACTGAAAGGTCTAGAAGGTCATTGATTAACCCAGAGGTACCCACCTCATCAGAAGCATACTTCAGTAATGAAGTGTGCATGTTTGCTCCAAGGCCAGGGTCCAGTGCACTCTGTGAGGAATTTGAACTAAATGGACTGTGCCTTGTGACTCCACTCTGTTGATTTTGTTCACTCTCCATTTCAGTCAGAAATGTGTTCCTTTTTCATTCATTCTATCGAGCATTTTTACATTGCCTATTTGTACAAGAGTTGAGAGATTCTTATCTTTAAAAGCATGTTCCTGATTGTTATCATCTGAGCCAGGTCAGCAAGGCCTGATCTGTTCTTTGCACATCTTCTGCTATTTCTACTCAAGGTGAAGTTTTTCCTTGAAATAGTGGTGAGAATTGGGTTCCCCTTCGTCTCCTAGAAGAGGTTCCCAGGGGGTCAAAATGACCCATTGCTGAGCAATGAACTGAAGAAGTGGTGCAGTAGTGAGGGGATCTTTAATGTAACAAAGGACCAGGGTTTCCCAAGGAGATGTTGTAAGACTCATCGTAGCATGGACGGCATGTATGTTCCCTTTCTCTCGACAAACTTTGTGATTTGGACCATTTTGATTTGATTCTGGAGCAAACGGTTGTATTTCTGCAGAGAATAGTCACGTCAAGGAAAAATTGACTATGTCGTCAGCAACTTTTTCTTACCTCTGTTTCTTGACCTTTTTCTGATGGCTTACATGATCATCTCTTAAGTCAGTCTCTTACGTTGGATGCTGTGAGATAAAATAATAGTGCAGAATTTAAGATAGTGTCCTCTTCTGTTATCTGGTTTTATTTGGAAAATAAGACATAAAACTGAGGGAGGAGGGGGGAGAGAATGGAGAAAGGGGTGAGAAGAGGGAGAAAAGAGAGGAGAGAGAGAGAATTCTTAGTGAATGTGAGAAGACATAGATAGTTCCATTGAAAATGGGGAAATTTTGGTACTTTATTATAAACTAAGCATATTCCCATTAAAATTAAAATTCTCAGGTAAGAGAAAGATTCCCTAGTCATTTATTTTCTGTTCTTTGAACTGGAGTCCTGCGTACCGTGAGAAATGTGGTAGACAAAAGGCAGAGACCCCCAGAGTTTAGCTGGTTCCTGCTCACACCGGAGAGGCTGAGGGTCCTTGGGATAGCTCCAGGTCCATCGGTTGACTCCAGATCTGTGTCCCTGTCACTTGTGAATACTCAGAGGCGGATGTGCCACTTCTGCTATCAGCAAGCAGGGTTGGGACACGGAAGGGAAAGAGCCTGAATTGTAAGGCTCTGCTTTTCTTTAGAGAAGATAACAAGGAAAAACAAGTGTTATGTTCATTAGCTTAAATGGGAAAGCTGGCAGTATTGCCAAGCTTAGAGGAAGGGTTGATATGTCTGTGTGTGTGTGTGTGTGTGTGTGTGTGTGTGTGTGTGTGAGAGAGAGAGAGAGAGAGAGAGAGAGAGAGAGAGAGAGAGAGAGAGAGTTGGGGATGAAGAACATCTATAAGTGCTCATACAGACAACAGACATATGTTTGTTCAGAACCAATAGCTTAGCTGCACCTAGCGTTCTTCTCGTCTGTCTACTAAGGCCTGCACAGCTGTGTTCTGGAAACCTGGCTGATAACAAAGAGCGATTAAGAAAGACAGACAAAAGTAACTAAATAAAGATGGAATCTGGTGGGCTGTACACTCAGACACTCAGTGCATTTATTTTACATGGCGTGAAGGAAGAAGTGGACTCACTCATCTCAGTGTGCAGGGTGAGGTATCTCTGTAGGGCAGTTGTCTGGATGGGAGTATGACCACACAGCCGTCCAGAATGAAGGGAGCCGTGCTTGGTAATTCTTGCATGTACTGTTTTTAGCTAAAAGTCAACCATTCCTCAATATCTGTGCTTTAACTAGGGAAAAGCCTTGCCATTCCCATGAGTTTGAGGCACTGGTGTTTTTGACATGACTGTGCTCATGTCAGCAATAAACATCCAGTTGGGATTTCATCCAAACTCCAAACCTGCCTATAGGATTAACCCTCAGTTGGGAGCCAGGAGCTACCCAGCTCTGTCCTTCCACGGGACACTCTAGTCTAGCAGTTCTCACAGATCTATGCTTCTGTGTTCCACGGCATTTGGTCCAATTCTTACATCTCCATTGTATCAAATAATCCTTGGGATTCCTCTGTGCTCAGCCTTCAATGCTTTGGAAGCAATTTCATGAATTCTTTCTCCTAATGAGCACATGACGGTATTAGGCAAGGGAAGGGTCACTACTGTTGAGGAGCACCCTATTCAATACACTTAGCCGTAAAAGTGACCAAATCATAGATTGATGCAAAGTGAAGCACTCCTCCAGCTTTCTCCAGATTCTCACATCTCATCACCTGATTCTATTTTGACTTCCATTATTCTCAACAAGGTTCTTTATGAATGGTTTTGGGTTGCTTGTAATAATGTGTGGGAGAAAGCATTGCTTCAGCCCACTGTTGCTCTGAGAGCTTAGCATTCATTCGCTCAGCCAGTGTGCTCAACATCAGGACACAGTGCTGACCAAATCGATGTGATCTCTGCCCCCATGGACCTAATAGGGTTATAGACATGTGATAAAAGAGTCGTAAGAGAATATGGGGTAACTTGCGTCACCATGGTGCACTATTCGAGGATGTAATGGGGCCCTCATAAGACAGAAAGCTGAAAGCAAGCTTCTGTGTGTGGAGTCACTGTTGTAAAGTGTGAGGGACAGCTTGACCACAGCCAAGAATAGCAGCCTGAGGGTGAGTGCCATTTAGACCCAGAGCAGCTGAAGCTACACCCTAAGAAACACCATAGTTCCTTCCTTTCTCGTACCTTCTTCATCTCAGAACCCACCAGATTTGCAGATCAGTGTTGTCTGTAAGTGTCTATGCAGCCTTATGACTTGCCTGGACCTCAAGTCGCTACCCTGAGTTTCCTCCTTTAAGTCTGCCTTCGATACAGCCCACCGTGATCAAAATGAAACCCAAGTCCAACCACAGCACGTCTCTACAAAGTACCTGCTGAAGCCACAAGATCAAGTTCAAGCAGCTGTGGTTTTTGCCTTGTCCACATCTCCAGACATGTACCTCACACATATATTTTATTTTGCAGAAATATCAAACTGCTTTAAACAATGAGCCTTAGACATGGAGCTTGTCACCAGTCAATAGTTACAATAAGTGTGTGTTAGCAGACACTCCTTTATATCAAGGGCCAATCTGAGCCCACGCTTGTGTGTTCAACCTTTTGATATGCGGGTTATGTTTTCATTGCTGCACTTATTTTGTGCCCCTGTATATGTATGATTCACAAGTACAGCTCAGTAAACACCAAAATAACCATAGCAGTATAAAATGTGACACAGAAATATTGGTGAATTAACTCAGAATTAGTAGCTTTCTTAATGTAAACAGTGCAGTACTTGAAAAGGAAAGCCCTAGAAAGTGTGGCAGTATGGCAAGCTAGACTTAAACTGATTTAGGATGTTATCTTAGATGGAGCCTGGTTGAGTGGGACAAGCTGTTGTGAGTTCATTGTCTACGATGAAGCACTGCCATGTTGTGGCAGGAGCTGTTGTTCTCTGCAGAAGGACATTTCTATAAAATGTCGAGGAACATTTAAATGAAGGATTTTTCAGAAGAACAAGGCAAAATGATGCTCTCATACTCAGATGAAGGAGTTGATCAGCCTCCATTTGGGAGACTACAATGAGTGAGTCAGAAACCTCAGTAAATGTCTATTCTGCTAAGACAAACAATCCAAAAAAAAAACTGAAGAGGTAGCACACTGCTAAGAGCCAGCTTCTCATTTCTGTTCAGAAAAGGGACTAGGCTTACTCAGAAGTCAGACAGTGGTGGAAGTGCCTTTGCTGCCATGAGTTCATTCCTTCCCAACACCCCATGGAGAGCATGGTTTAACATATTTTTGTTCATCTACTAATGCGCTCTATACTGTCTTCATTTTGCAAAATTGAAAATAATAGATTTCAGTAGAGTATAAAAATGATTACAAAGCCTGATATAATAAAAGGCTTAGAATGTGTTTGCTACAGTCTTCCACATGGACAGTCTTCCAGCTTTTCAATCTTAAATGCCAATCACTTGGCTTTAATACTCAGAGCCATCTTTGTCACCCAGAGCAGTCCTCTGCACACAGGGCTAAGTCCATATTATTCAGGAAGGTTCTTAAGGGTTCCATTCCTTGATACCTTTATTTTGGAATTAAGTTTCCAACACATAATGCACTTTGGAAAATACATTTGAACTTTAGTACTCTCTGTTCTACACTGTTCCTAAAAACAGCCCTGCAGCTTGAGGTTAGTGGAAGAACCTGGGAATTCACCTAAACAGACCTTCATCTTGTCTTCCTCTTATTAATAACACTGTTGCCTCCAGTCCCAAAGTACCACTAACTCTTTAAGCTCAAAAATAATTCTGGATTAGTCAGATAGTTTCTGTTTTTGTTTTTGTTATTTTTATTTTTTCCCTGTTGGCTTCTTCATTCTCTCTAAGTTATATGTTCTTAAGCTTCTCTCTTTTGGTAGATATAGTTTCTTTTCCCGTTCTTTTTGCTCTTGTTTTGCCTCTATTTTTGTGATACTCAGTGATTAACACTAAACGGATGGCTTCAAGTCTTTATCTCTAATAGGAATACACCATTGTTTCAGTTTTCTATTTTTGTCTTAAATGCAGTCAGAAAATGGTAGACATACTTTTTATGAAATTGAAATATATAGTATCCTTTTCTATATCATGTTTTTCATCATTTCTGTAGATAATATCCTTCAATTGCTTTATATATGTATATGTATATGTACATATAGTGGTAATAAGAGTACTTTTTCAAGCAGTTTTAAGTTCATAGCGAAATGGAGAGCTAGGAAAGAGAGTTCCTCTCTGTACATCCTCCCCAGGGCATCCCCCTCACTTGTATACAGTCTTCCTCCATCAGTATCCTCTATCAAAGCAGTGCATTACAGCCACTGAGCCATCAACAACATTTTCATCCAGCTAAGCCTGTGGTTTACAGTAAGGTACATTCTCTGGGGTTTGACTAGCGCGTGGTGATATAGATGAACAATCATTCTGGTAGTACACAGCACAGTTTCACTATCCTAAAATCCCTCCCACGTGCCGAGGCTGCACCCACAGCTGAGGAGCTGTTGGCAGTTGACAGTTGCTTGGGGAGGGCCACTCAGTTTTCTTCAGGGTTACCACTTCTGGTATACTCTTGCTCCCGTGAATGGCCCCACACCTATATACGTAGGTAACATGAAGTAGACTCAATGGGCTGTAAAAATAAGAAAGGGGGTCATAATGTTGGGGTATAAACAGAGAAGCGTCCAGGGGGGTTAAAGGCAGGGCAGGGGGTTAGAGATAATTGAACTACGTAGTATGTACATATGAAATTCACAGAGTAAATATTTTTTAAAGGCAAAAGGAAAAGGATATGGGACCATAGACCTCCCTTCCCTTTTTTCCTTTCTGACCATGACTTCTGACATTATATGCTGCCTCCTCATAAGCCCCAAACAACCAGACCAATAGATTGTGTAGTAAAACCATAAGGCAAAATAAACCTTTTCTCTTTATAGGTTGATTATCTCAGAGATTTTTGTGTAGTGACAGAACCTGATACCACACTGAGTAGTATTCCATTGTCTGGATCACTGTTTATTCACCTACTGAAGGGAGTCTTGGTAGCCTACACATTTTGGCAATTATGAGTAAAACTGCTATAAAAATTGA